CCCCCAACCCACCCCCTACCCCACCACCCACCCTCTGAGCAGTAGTCCATAACGATGTGCAGCTGCCCCTCAGCGGCAAACGCCTCGTAGCACCGCACGATATTCGGGTGCGATAGGGCCATAAGCAGCTGCGGTGCAGGGACGAAAACCGCGAGCGCCGCGTCCACGCGAAAACGCGGTGAGGTCAGTCGGCGTGCTGCCGGCATGCGGCGCGGCGGCTGCACAGGCCGGGCCGCGGCGGCCGGCACAAGCTTGCAGGGCGTGCCCAGGCTTTCGGGGTGCTGGCCGCGCCCGAGCGCACGTACGCCTTCGCCCCAGCTGTTTCCCGCATGCATGCGCGGGGCGGTCGCGGCTTGCGGGCGGGCGGCGCCCGCGCCGCGCACACCTTGGCCTCCTGCTGCGCCGCCTCGCGCTCCGCGGGCGTCATCCGGCTGACGTCGACCACCTTGATTACATACTGCTTCCCGTCCTCCTTGCTCCTGAACAACCAAGATAATCCACAGGAAAACAGCAACCAAGATGTCGGAAATGTGATTCTAGAGGCGACGGTCGCTCCTCCCCGACCGGGTCGGTCGGAGCCCCGCCGCGCAGGCGGCGCCTCTGTCGCCGCCGCCGCGCGTGAGGCCTGAACGGGGCCACGGCGCACGCTCCCCGCCCTAGCCCGGCCTTCAAGCTATATGGCGGTGGCGGCGCGCCGCGCGTGCGCACCTGCACAGTATAGCGCTGCCGAAGCTGCCCTTCCCCAGGACGCGGATGCGCTCGAAGCGCGCCTCCATGGCGGTGGCTCGGGCTGGTGAGCGAAGAGCGCCGCGATCAAGGCGTGCGGTGCGTGTGCCGCTGGTTTGCCGCGCTCGCCGCCGCTACGCTGTCGCGCGCCTAGCGGCGCTTGAATTCGATCAGACCAGCTCCTCTATTGATGCCGTTATTATGTCGTGACTGCTGCTGGCCGCGTCCCAAGATCGTTCATCCAAGTCAAAGGCGCGTGTGGAGGCGTACATGGTGAAGAGTATGTTCTAAATTGCTTATTTGGGTATGAATCCCATTTACACAGAGATCTGGTGCTGTACGGCTGAGCGCACACAGCAGATTGCGGACAAGCTGCCCCACAGACCAGCAGCTCGAGCTCAGCATAAGCTGTACTGCCCCCCCTCGTAAGAACCGACTGCTTTGCAACTGCTGATCTGAAGCTCCCTTACTGTAGACCATTCATTGTTGCAACGTCAAGCTCAATACCTCTGCCGCAATATCCTTGATGCTGACGTCACCGGCCTGCTTCTGCCTGCTCAACTGCCGTGGCGCGCGACCTTTGGCTGCTACATGACCCCTCCAACCCCACCACCAGGTTCTGCAGCGTCCACACGTACATGGCTGCCGCTAGGCATCGCGCTGCACAATCGATGCCTGCTTCACCTGCATGTGATTGAGGTCCGTCGCTCATAACACGGGTGCAGGTGCTTCCCAAACGCTCTAAATGCAACAAGCCATCAAGCCAATGACGCCGCCGGGGCGGCGTGCGGCGGCGCCTGCCGGCCGCGAGGAATGCCAAGCCGCGTGGTTGTGACGCCCCGGTCAGAACTGCATCTTCCTGCGCGACGTGTAAGTCTCCACGACGTCCGGAGGGTACTGAGGCGGCGCCTAACGAGTGGCAGGGTGAAGGCGATGCATGAGGGGCGGGCTGAGCGACGCACACCCAGTGGAGCGGGCCGGCGCGGCGGCAACGGCCGGCGCAGGAGGCGCGGGTGGGGGGCGCCAGAGGCAAGAGCCGCGCGCGGGAGGGCTGGCGCTGCTGCAGCTGCTGATGCGACGACAGCTGCTGGTGTCAACAGCACGGGCAGCCGCTGTCATTCAAACAACGGCTGCTGCCACTGCTACCGTTGTCCTATCAGGACTTGCGGCGTGTTCATCACTGCTCCACCTGGCTTGGTGCGCGCAGTACCTTTGCAAGGAGCACCACCCCGGTGTGCGGCGCTGCACTCTGTTTGCTCCCTGCCTGCATGCCCCCTTGGCCCCCCCTCCCAACACCCCGCAAACAGGTGTTGCAATGCTGCAGTTGCACACGCCCTCCGCGTGCTCACATAGATCGCCCTGTCCTCATTCCAGGACGCCCTGGTAGCGTATATGCTGCCAATCAGGAGGCCCATAACCGCTGTCAGCTGCAACACAGCCTGGCCCTGCAGAAGCAGGGCGGGGCACGGAGCGTGGCCGCATGCCAGCGGGGCGCCGGGGTCCCTGGTGAGCCGTGGACTGGCTGCTGCGTGCGTGCACGCTTGCAAGCCGTCGCCTGCCCCTGGCTGAACGCAAACATGCGTGCCATGGGCCACGCGTGGGCAGAGCGGCGCCTTGACAAGGTACGCCTCCCCTGCGTTTCCGCACTGCTGACGCTGGGCGAAAAGGGCCGCCGTACATCAACTCTGTTGATTGTGCCGCACCGTTGTGAACAGCGTAGGCTCGCCAACACTGTCCAGCACAGGCTGGGAGTGCATCAAGCCGTCATCCCACCACATCTCGTCCCAGAGCCGCACCTGCTCGATCGAAAGGGGTGCAGCGAGTGCGCCAACGGAGCGCTGCGCACCGCGCCGAGGGACCAGCAGGCGCTGCTGCAGTGCACTCAGCCCATGTTTTTGATAACTTGAGCACCCAAGCTCACCGGCTTTTCCGGCGCAGGAGCGTACTTGACAGGGCCCCCACCACCACCACGCTGCGGTAGGCCCTTGCCCGCCAGGCGCGCCAGGGAACGCATGCCCTGGCGAAGCGCCATCCTCCTCCCACTTCCGGTGCCCGCGCTTGCTCTAAGGTGGCAAAATGATCTGCACGACTTGGCCCCGGCCGATGTGTGAAGGAGAAGGATTCAAGTGTTCTCTACCGTTCATGTATGAGCAAGCTACAGCCCCCAACTGCTCTGTGCCCCATCCAAGAGCAGACGCTGCCTGCGCCACGCCGCCACCTGCCGTGCCCAGTCGGGTTGTGGCACCTGTGCTTGGGGTGGTGGCTTGCCGGTGCACCGTGCGTGTACACCATCGACGCGCAGGCAGCAGCATCAATTTCAACACGTGACACAGCCACCCGCATTGCTCTCACAGGTCGCAACTGCAACGTTGACCATTGCATGTGGGGTGGGCTTGTGCATCCTTGCAGGGGGGATCCACCTGGTTGGATTGAGAACCAGGGGTGTGTTGGTAAACTTTCAAGCCAAACATGAAGCAAGGCTGCGCAGGGCCACACGTCCTTCACGTGCTCTTGTGTCTCCGGCTAGCTTGCTCGTTCCACGCAGCTGATGTTGCAACCGATGCAGGTGCTGCGGTGTACCGGTATATCTACCTTACATGAATGCATCAAGATTCGACGCGTAGTGGGCGTGTGTCAACTATGTCACTGGGTTCACCAAGTTCACACGACCGTTCCTTAGTCCAGGGGCAGGGCGGGTGCTGTTGCTATTGTCCTGTTTTACCTGAAGATCTCCGACCTTGCCCGTGCTAAAGCTATTCTATCGCGGCAGTGTAGACAAGGGCCGTCTGCACATATCTGCGTGCCCCGCTCCCTGCAGCGTTCTTGATGCAACTCGCCTGTTGGTTGATTCTTGGTGCACCAACGCAGCTCAGCAACGCGGGGCAGTGCCGTCGTCGTCAATGCAAGCGGGCAGGCCCTCGCTTCAAAGACATGCCTACGTAAGCAGCACAGCAAGGCTCTGGGCCTCAGTGCGCGGGTGGCTGGCTCGCAATTGTCCCACAGCACAGGGATGAGCTTATTGGCCCACCTATTTGCAGTGCAGCAACGCAAAGGGAAGCAACGTAAAGGGAAGCTGCCCAGGGGAAGGCACAATCCACGATCGAGCCACTTCGTGGTTCATCGGAGGTACTGGATTTGCATACAAAATGACAAACATACTTTTGTGACGCAGCAGGAGACAATCAGCACGCCGCTGCGGCCCTTGGGCTTGGCTGGGATCGTGGAGTACATCAGACCCCTGGCAGAGCACTGAAAGCTATTTGAAAGGAATCAATCTGCTGATCTCAACACTGGAGAAGGGAAGCTGGGGCCGTGAGGTGCGTGCGCACGGACACCTCATCAGCCCTCGTAAAACTTATGCTGATATGATTTTGGGCCCCAAGTCCTCTGTTTTGTACCCCTCGACGCCCAGACGGTGCAGATTGCCCGCGGGCGGGTGGTCGTTCCACTCTTTGACCTCCCTGGCACGCTCCCTATCTCCGTCCGAAGCAATCCAATAAAAATATTGTGCTGATATACTTGCTTACCGCAGTGGGGTTTGGTGGGGGGCAGTCCGTAGCTGCGGACGCGGGGCGCGATCGATGCAGCGCTTCTTCCCAGCATCGGAGCCGCCTTCGGGTGGAATGGATGATTCAGACAGTGAAACGGAGGAGGCTGGCACCGTGGCCAGCCACCGCGCGAAGCCGCGCAGGAAGGCGCACCAGCGGCCGCAGGTGGGCCTGCGCACTCCCGCGCGCGCGCATAACGCTCTGGTTTGACTTACTTCGGGCTGGTGCGAGCTCATGCATGGCGGCGCATGTGCGCACGTTCCAAGATGCGCTGCGGCTGCTGGCGCGCTTGACCCCCACACCAGCGCGGCGCGCTTGGCTGCAGCGGCTGATTGTTCCAACCGCGCTGCCTGGCACCGCGCCCGCGCCCGGCCCCCGGGGCACGCAGGGCTCGGATCAGATCCGACAGGCCTTCTCCAAGCGCAAAAAGGGCCTGGTTCTCAAGTCATACCAGCTCTTTCGCCTGACAGACGCCAAGGTGCGGCGCCTCGCGGCGCAGGCGCCGCATGTGCGGCCGCCGGCCGGCCGCATGGGCGGCCACACCCCATGCATGGGCGACCGCACCCGATGCATGGGCGACCATACCCCATGCAAAGGCGACCGCAGCCCATGCATGGGCGGCCGCATCCCATGCATTGCGCCGGCGAAAGCACCCATTCGCCGCCGCCGCGCCGCGCCCGCCGCATGCAGGTGTTCATGTTTGTGGTCAACGACAAGGGCAGCTCATGGGCGTACGCGACGCCCGGCTTTGGCGCACCCCTCGGCCTTGCCACGCTGCGGCAGCTGCGCGACATGGCGGGCGTAGGGGAAATCGCGGGCCAGAGCAAGTGCCACACTGAGGTGGGCGGGTGGGATGAGGCCAGAAGGCGCCAAGGGCGGCGCGCCTGTCGGGACCTCTGCACCGCTGCGCCGGCGAGCGACCTTGGACCCGCTGTTTTCGGGCAGTCGGCCTTGCTGACGCCGCCGCGGTTTGCGCCCCTTGGCCGCAGATCATGCAGCACCCGTCGATCGCCGACCACGACCCGTCTGCCGACGACCGCGACAACTACGTGACGCCCCGCGACGGCGCCGGCGCGAGCGGCGGCGCGCGCAGCACGCTCACGGAGGGCGGCACGTACGCGACGCCCGCCGCGCGGGGAGGCGGCGGCGGCGGCGGGGGCGGCGCGGGGCGCGCGTGCAGCAGCTACAGCAACGCGTCGGGCGACGTCGAGTTTAGCGTGGCGGGCGGCGCGACGCCGGCGGCGGACGGCGCGCGGGGCGGGCGCGGGGGCGCGGCGCCGTCGCGGGCGCTGAGCGTCGCGTCCAAGGCGCGAGGGGGCGGCTTGAAGGTAGGCTGCGGTCGCCGGGGACGGCCGACGCGGGCCGGCAGCATGGGAGCGGTGGCCCGCGCTTGCATGCAAGAGCCTTGCTCGCAATCGCGGGACTCAGGATGCCCATTGCAAGTGTTTCCCGCCCCGCCCCGCGTGTCATGCCTGAACACGCTGCAGGCGGAGGAGGCCGACGATTCCCTCCGGGTGCGGCCGCCCTCGGGCCTGTCGGCCAGCACGCTCGGCTGCGGCGCGCCGACTGCGCCCGGCGCACCCGCCGCGCCCGGCGTGCCCGGCATGCCCGGCGTGCCCGCGTTCAGCGGCCTCCCCATGCTGCCGGTCGTCTGCAGCGGCGGTGCGGCAGGCGCCGGCGGCGAGCTTGGGGCCCCAGGTGTCGATGCTGGTGTTGCCACGGGGCAACACCAGCATGGGATCCACTTCTTCGCGCTGCCTGACGGCGGCCGCTTCCCGGACCCGTCCAGTACTGCTTCCGTGGCACAGCAGCCAGAGCCGCATCTGCAGCAGCCGCAGGGGGTGGCGCCTGGCTTTGGCGGCGTGCAACACGTCTCGGCGGCGGGCGGCTACGTGGTGGGTGGCTCGTGCGACGTGCCGGAGCAGCAGCAGCTGCTGCAGCAGCACAATCACAAGCACCAGCAGCATCACCATCAGCAGCAGCAGCAGCAGCAGCAACAGCTCTATGGGCCGCCTGCGCCCGCAGGCACGCCAGGGACCAACGATGACTTCGCGTCGCTGCAGGCGCGCCTGGCGCCGCTGCGCACCCGCGCGCCGCACGGCTGGCCTGAGGACGGCGCGCAGCAGGTGCACAGCGCGCCGGCCGGCATGCTGAATGGGATGCTTGGGCCTTGCGGCGGCGACGGCGGCGCGGTGCCGCTTGGGAGCATGATGAGCGAGTACGGCTATGCGGCGTACGCCCAGCAGCCACCGCCGCAGCAGCAGCAGCAGCAGCAGCAGCAGCAGCAACACATGTACGGCGTCGCCCCTGCGCACATGGCCGCCGCCGGGCCCTACCTGCGCTTCGGCGGCGCGGCCGCGGCGGTGCGCTTTGCCGACGGGAGCTCCGAGGCGTCCCCGACCGCCAGCATCGGGCGCGGCGTTGCGGCGCTGGCGGTGGAGTCGGCGCCCGGCACGCCTGCGCACGGCGACGCGCTGCAGCAGCAGCAGCAACAGCCGCAGCAGCAGCAGCAGTTTTACGGCGGCGCGGACGCTGCGGCGGCCGCAGCTGCCTCTGCCGTGGATGGCGATCTCGGCTCTCCTGACGAGGGCTTTTTGGACGATCCCATTTTGGCAAGCCTGTGGGCCTCCGCGGCAGATGTGCAGACAGGAGCTGGCCCCGCTGGACAGCCCTGCCTGGCCCTGCCACCGCCGCTGCTGCAGCAGCAGTTGCAGCCGGCCGACAACGGCGGCATGCTCATGCAATTGCCGCATTATGGGGTGGCACAAACCCCGGCCCAGCAGCAGCAGCAGCAGCAGCAGCAGCAGCAGCAGCAGCAGCAGCAGCAGCAGGCATTCCAGCAGCAGTTCCAGATGCAGCAAGTGGCCGCCCAGCTGCAGGCGCTGCAGCACCAGCAGGCTGCGATGCAGCACGCCCTTCAGCATGGCCACCAGATGTTTGCTGCCGCGCCGCCCATGCAGCAGCAGCAGCAGCAGCAGCAGCCAATGTCGCAGCAGGCGTCACCGCGGGCCGGCGGCGCGCCGGCGGCGGCG